ATTTCTTTTTTTTAAATTAACAAATAAAATAAAAAAAAAAAATAGCGATTGATAAAATTCTACTTCCCATATCTGATCATTTTTAAGACCTTTGAAAGCTTGATTTAAGACATTTAAATACCAGTTAAGGCCTATACTGTACTGTCTATATTGTTCGTTGATAACATCCATCGTTTACACACTTCTGATTCAGCTTTGACCTACTGCACTTGCCGTAGCTGTGCACACATAGTTTTTTCTTGGTTACAAATCTGACTGCACGTTATACTGAGTATTAGTGGTGAATTAATTTGTTATTAAGGATTATTACATACTTTTTGAGTGCATTCACTTTCACTTTTACCTCCAACGGAAGCAGTTTTTAAGTACAGAATAACTATGACAAATGGCAAGTATTATAACCAAAGTTGGTGTGATGATGATAATATTCAAGTTGTAAGAAGCCAGAAGTGGTTCCCAACCTTTTCTAATTAATACAAAGTGACCTGTCACAACAGGTTGCATGTATATTACTGTGCATGACTACACCTGGACAAAAGTAACTTAATTAAGTGTTCTGGAAAAAATATATATATATTGTGTGTTCCAGAAGTATTACCATGATATGTAGTGGTGATGCGCATGTCTACCTACAACCCATGGGTCAGGCAGTTCAGGTAAGCTTGTTAGAAAATATCTCAGGTTCAGGCAAGTGGGTCATAGAGTAACAAAGCAGCATTCTGAGTTTAGTTTCAGAAACACAAAAGTGCAAAAGTCCACCGTCCACTTTCTCCTCCCCTTTCTCCAAATCTCTCTTGTCTCTGTCACACAGTAAGCAGCTTTATCATTGCACTGCTGTGCTAAGGCTTTCTGTTATTTGATTTTGACCAGGGAAATCTGTTGAAGTCCCACATATTTAAATCTCACAAATTATTATCTCCAATAAAAATATTTTCCTCTGCAAATATGTAGGTAGTACACCAGGTAGTACGCCTCTCCATCCACACTGAATTCATTACATATTCTGGAACGTCATGTAAGCAAACCACTGCACCTATCAACAGCGATAAACATACCAGGCAGGATATCTGCTGTGCACTCAAGATCAGACATAAAATGTAAACAATTAAAAGATGCTTGCTGTCTTCCTACGTTTGTACTTTAAAACAGAAAACACGTTTTACGATGTGATATTTACTGAAAATGACCTACAATACAGCCAACAGCACACAGGTTGTCAGTGATGGTCATTACCAGAAACTTTCAGCTCCAGTTTGCAGATTGGGTTCAGGTCACTGATTAATGCATAATGTTAATGAGTTGAGCATTCTCAAATCAGGCCCAGATGTTGTGGGCTTTAAGAAACCCTGACCCGTGTATAACTACTATTTAGTGTGCCAGAAAAAGATTTGCATACATAGTATGTTAAATGCAGTAGGCCAGAGACACCAGGATGTCCTACTGCATCCAGTCACATTTCACAGTATACAAGCCTGCATGCTTTTCTGGCTGTTCTTACCCACAGTCCTTTGCGCAGCGGAAGAGCCTCTTCCGAAGAGGCATCACATAAACTGAGCCACAGACAGATGACAGCTTGACAACTTTTTGACATCTTATTTTGACAGCTGTCAGAAGCCACAATGACGAATGACACAGATGACAGCCCATTCAGGTGACTGGTTACCAGTCAAACTGAGAGAAATTTAAGTAAACAAAATAACAAAAAACAAAATAATAATCTTAAGGATAACCAACAGCTGAAGGACATAACTATGACAAAGAAATGCTAATTAAATTTTACTGCTGTGAATATAATGTTAGAATCTACAATTTATGCAGTCATTACTGAAAAGTTAAAACTACATCAGTGGTTTTCAAACTTTATATGCCCAAGGCACACCTAAGGGCAAGCTAAAATCTCAAGGCACCTGTATTTATATCTGTGCACAATAGCTTCTATGACGTGTGTTATCACTCTTATCATGACATAAGACAATAAAAATAAGACAAAAATAAGACAGGTAGCTTTCGTGATAGCATCTCCTGACATTTCTCTTTTCTTTCAGTGGTAGGTCGTCTTTGCTGGTGCTTTGTTGTAATTTGCTCTGTACAATAAAACAATCCATCGTCCCACTCACGGCTTTCTCCTTTTAAATATTATCATCCCTCACACTGGCGACCAATCAGGGCTTTTGATGTGTCACAAACTTAGAATTCCTGCACGCAAACAGCAAGAAAAACCTTTTTTTTTTTTTAATTAAATTACATTTCTATTTAGCCTCTTTATTAGGAAACAGGTGCACACAACATATTGATACAGTCAATCAACAGGCCCAGTTGAATACTGCAAAATAATGATGTGTGGTTATCACAAAATCCAACGGCATACCCGGATTAGCATCATGACACACCATTTAAGAACCACTGAACTACATTCACTGCAATGTAGCAACAACAGAGCTCTCCAGGTTGACCTTCGTCTCCAGCGACCTTAGTGAATGGCTTTTGTTGTGTCACCACGGTAACAACAAGTGATACCATTAGGATCTGCTTTTCTTACTTCAAATTTTGCATAATGGACTCCAACAAATGTACAAGCAAGAGGGTCAAAGTTCAGGGCACAATGTTAGGATGGGGTAGTATGTCCCAGTTGTATGCATACTCCATGTAACAGTGTGTACTTTGTAAGGGCAGCTACAGTGAGTACCAAAAGTAAAAAGAAAAAATATGCCATTTGGAGCACAGTGATATATTCTTTTTGAAGTTTACTGTTAACGACATTATCTTCCTCACGAATTCAAACAAGACTAAAGCTGTGACCCAACTTCAGACTACTTCAGAATGTAATGGACAAGTGACAAACTACTGTAAGTGTACTCAAAAAAGAACCCTTTATTTCTGAGTGTACTGTTGATGCACACTATTTTCCAGAAGTGAAGTGTGTGAAGGAAATGGAGGAGCTCCTCACAGCTGCAAAAAGATGGCGGAGAGACAGCTACTGAAATATCCTAGAAACCAAAAAAATACCAGTAAACAGTAAATCCTCAGAGACGTTTTGTTTTGGCTCAAATAAAGTTTAAAGCTCCAGCAAAAAATCTTAAGATTGACGTACCCACAGCTTAGTATTGATTGGTGAACAGCACAACACTACTGTATAATTTCCTGTGGATAAAATGGTAAAGTGTGTTGTTGTCTAGTGCAAAAGCAGTACACTATATAGATTTGTATTAAGTCTGTGCACAATTAGTGTGTGTGGTTTGGAATTGGGATGTAAAAAGCACTATCACATTTTCAGATTGTTTCATCTGAATGAGTTTTAGAAGCCTCCAGAGGTACAATTATACAGTATTTAACAAGGAAAAAGTAAAGAAAGTCTGAAGAATAAACATAATTTTGTGTGGAAGATCCTTTTTTCTATCTATTTAGAAAACAATAATCATTTTGAAACTCATTGTGGGGGGTTCTGAGCGCTGAATAAAAGTGTCTGCATGAGAACAGGCAATCTACTCAATGGCTGCATGAATGTACATATATGTATGTGCATTCCTGTGTCTGCGACAGAACCCCGCAAATGACCCCAGTGATTAATCTGAAGGCTACAGGGAAAGGAAGGATCCCCCTGCTAGCATCCACTTATCTCCTACAGTAACATCCCATTAGGGCTCCGCTGAGAATAAAAACACAACAGCCAGCAGTGGCAGCGTTCCCTGACATCAGTGTGTGGCGAGGTGCCTGGTGCCTGATGATACCTCTCCTCTCCCTTGTGTTCTCTGTCAGTGCTCGGACTGCCTGCTGCTAAACAGAGCAGTTTAACAACCCTCCCAGCATCCTTCCCCGCTAAATGATTCAAATGCTTCGGCACTTCAAAGTGGAACCAAATGTTCCATTTCAACAGATCCCTTGAAGGAGACTTTGCCACTAATGACATGGGGAGGTGTGACGGTGGGCTGCGAGGCCCACGAGCGTACCGTACCACGTGGGACGAGGGGAGGGCAGAGCGAGGGGAGGGGAGGTGGGAGAATGCTGTTAAAATCCTAACAATTTAGCAAAACTACTTCGGGATAAAACATTTTGGGCTATTTTGATAGAGCTCACAGTATTTATCAACATAACCTGTTCCAACGTCGGCTGTAATAAGAACAATTCAGAGAGCCTTCAGCAAACCGCTCACAGAAGTTCATTCCAGGCTTAATGAAATTTTAAAGTTCAGCAGCTTATTAGCATACAGCGCTCATATTAGCATATATTACATCTGAACTCAGCCTGTGTAACCGTGGCCCCTCCTTGTTTTCAGAATTTTTAAAGGATGGAGATTTGCATTAAATACCTTTTCGAACACTCGATTTATCTGTGAGAATAGAGGAGCTATATAACAGACATATTAAACCACGGACAATGAAGGCTGACTAAATAATGTAGCAAAGTATTTTAATGTCTGAATCAGCCTCATCGAGTTTGAAACACTCTACAGATTATTTAAAAAAAAAAAAAATCAATGTATTTCATTTATATTTCATCTGGGTTTGTTTATTCAGCTTGAGTGGAGATGATGAAAATCACCACATTATAATAGCAAATGGGTAAATTCAAGCAATTATCTACTGCATGTGTGCGCTCTGTATTTGGCATGCACTGTATACATTGATGTTGAAGGCATGAATGATTTTATTATCATTGTGCTGCACTCCTGCAGCCTTCTCTGCAGCGGTTCCTGCTCCACTGCTGCCTTGTCGAGATACATCCCACAGGATGCTCATACAATGCAAACAAGAGGATGTTATGTGTTCCCCTCAGACATCAGCCGTCATTATTTATGTTTATTCTTACATGGGCGTAGAATATTCAATGAAGAGACTAGTGCTGCATAGCATAGCGTTTATAGCCTGAAAGCTAATTTGTTACACGTGTCCCTTGGTGGCCTTTTATAAAAGATGCATTCACACTGCACTGTATATGCAATTTACAATAAAAGGTAGATCAAATCCAAAGAAAGCCACCGGATTAACCGTGAATACACGTCTGCTCACTCATGAGAAATGGTTTTAACTTAGATTTAAAATGATCCCAGAAATGATCCATTTTGAGTCGTGTAAGGATTTCCACAGTGTCTGTCCAAAGGAGGTTTCACAAAAGGCACTTTGCAGTCCTCTATAGATGCAGCCCAAGTAATTAACTGAGTCACAAAGCCGGAGAGGTTTCACCACTGAGCACCTTAGGAGCCTGCTTATATAGACATTTGTAGATAAGTTCACCTCTGGTAATTTTAATGAAGTTATTAAAACTTAACAGAATTAATTTCTTACCTACATGGCTATGTTTATATTAAAGCTATTATTCTATCCTCTCTCTTAGACTCGGGACGCTTTGGGAAAGTTTGTGAAGAAAGCCATCGTGCACTACAGGGATGACCTGGATCTGCAGAACCTGATGGATTACATCCAGAAAGAGGTGTTGTGGCTAGTTCCACTTAGCTTGAGTGCCTGTGCTTGTGTCTGTAGCTATTCACATCACACACGTCTTCAAATTGATCACAGCTAGTGGTTTATTGAATATGTCTGAGCACTAAACCAGGAAACCGCAACCAGAGACCACAGGGCTGTGTGTTTTACGTTTGTTATCTTGGCCTCGGTGAGGGATTTCCACATGAGAGGCTCCATGTTACATACAGTTCCTGTGCTCTGTTGGTCTCCTCATGTGATATTCCTCTTCCATCTGCACACACTGGCACACTTGCGAGCCTGGGTTTTCCCATGGGAGAAGCCCAGACTGGCAGGATGTACAGTGCAGAGCAGGGCCACGTTTCTAAATATAAACCTGTGCTGTGCTCTCCCCTCTATCTCTCTCTTCATCTCTCTCTCTCAGTTCAAATGTTGTGGGTGGAACAACTACACAGACTGGTCCTGGAACCTTTACTTTAATTGCACACATGAGAACCCCAGCTCCGAGCGCTGTGCCGTGCCTTACTCCTGCTGCACTCCTGTTCCTGGAGAGGTGCGTGCTTTTCTATGTCACCTCTTGACTTACACTGTGGGGACAAACTACTATAAAAGCTTAATGGAAAACTAAAGTAACTTCAACTTAAAAACACTGTTTCAAGGAAGACTTGGGTTGATTTCCAGTGCAACTAATTGCATTTCAAGGCGCTCTGGGTGATAAATGTGTAGATGTATCAGTCACCAAGGACACAGTGTGCAAAAGTTTCAGACTCTCTGGACCTGCACTTATGAGTTCAACCTTCGCCACTTACATGCAGGAAAGGAATATAACAGCAACAGTTTAAAACTGGGTTACCTGCTAAAACTCAGCTCTCTGAGTAAAGTGAGTGAGATGTTAAGATGCTATAAAAGAGAAGTGGAAATGTGGGTGTGCTGATGTGCAGCGTCTACAGGTGAGGAAAGTAATAACTTCTTAACCAGGGGTGTCTAATATGTGAGAACCGGGCAGCTAAAGGGTACAATCTGACCCACTGGATGACTGTGCACACCTAATATTGACGACTTCGAGGTACCAGGTTTCAGGAGCAAGTTAAACACTAAGTAGCCTACTTCAAGTAAAGTGCCACTTCAGAAGCTGACCAGAGTTGCCTGGGAACCAGATCTTTCTATCTCCACAAGCCACCGACATAAAACAGTGGTTTCTCGGTTAAAATAAAAAACAATCAATGAGTGCCACAGGGGGGAGTTGATTAGCAAACCCACGCCACATGCAGGACTAAAGCCATTGTCAAGCTGTTGTCAAGTGGTGTGCCGGAACCAATGAGGAGTAAAAATAACAACAGCAAGCACCACAGACAAGATTGATGCCGCTATAAAGGCTGTTTTAAATCAACATGTCTTCTCGATATCGCCTGATGTCATAGTTTGTTTTTGGCTACCCTTAAAATGACGTTAGACTCAGGCCAGTACATTGATCTCTGGTGATTGGTTAAGGAAAATCAAATTTCCCAGCCCCACAGAAATTGGCTAGATCGGAAGTAATGTAAGACCAAAGATAGAAACAGAATGTCACGAGTTATTTCTGTCTGATATCTGGCAATGACCAGAGTACAGTTCTCGGAAAAAACAATGAATACTTACTGTGGTCATATGATGTCAAGATGTCAAACACTGGGCGGAATACTGTGAATCAGCAGCTTCAGTACAAAAGAATCTGTATCAGACTTTTATCTTTAAACATAATTGGTGGAGCCGTGTTTCTATGGCACTGCCAAAACTTTAAACTTGTAAGTGGTTTGCAAGAATAAGTTATCCCCTGCCTTTTTAATAGCTTCCACTCAGCGTGGTGCGGTGAAGCCAGCGTCAGTATACAGGAGTAAAAATGTGTGGGAAAATGCACATGTAATGACAGTGAGAAGTAGACTGGCAGAATGTGGAAAAACTGTGACACATCGTTGAAAATGCACTTATTTTTCTTACCACATCTCAAGCTGTTTGTCATCTGTTTTGTAAATGAATGTTCTCAGAATGTGCTTGTATGTCTGTACCCTAAAAGAATGGGAATATTTTGGAGGTGTTGTTACTTATAGCTTATTCTGAAATGGATTTACTGGTCTGGGCCACCTGAGATCATTTTGGGCTCTGTGGCCCATGAACTAAAATGAGTTTGACACCCCTGTTCTAAACAGATCCGCTTCCTGCAAGTTTAACAGGTAGAGAGCATTATCCTGGTCCCAGACTTCCAAATTGCGCCCATTGACAGCCGTTTTGCCCCAGTTTCAGAGACGATTGACCAACGAAAGTTTGTTACGCTAACATTTGAGACTGGGGACATCGTCTTTTTGACATTGCTAGGTACAGTAGCAACATTTTTCTTTGTTTCATGTAGAAAACAGAAAAATGTAAACTGCTCCTCACAATCACTACCATAGCGTCTGCGTCAAATGAATTGGCTGGCTATAGGGACAGATATGTCACCATTGAATGGTTAGGGCAGCCAAATAAATTCCCCTCCCAAGACAACTACCAGAACCTCTATGTAAGGCTAAAAGAATGGGGTAAAAATGAAACTGCAATGCCAGTTTCCTGATTATCAGGCTTAATAAGGGTTACAATAGCAGCTGTTTTTCTCTGTACTGATGTCATGTTTTCAGGTGTTAGAACACTTCATCTCGCACTCACTGCCTGACGGCCACTAATTAGACAAGATGGTACAAAACAAATATTTTTTAAGCTTTAGAATCCAGATTTCTCTGTGTTCTTGACAATGACACTACAAACACTATTTACGTTACTTTGACGTTGGATAAGTGCACATACAAGTGTGTCAAAAGTGCAGAAGCCATTCAATTCCTTGCCTGGAGGTGACATCAGCAGGTCTACATCTTCAGGTCTAAATTGCCGCTGCTATTACCTTCCTTGGGGTGAAGTTAGTTGTCATGCATAGAACTGGTCTGCCACTTTCTCCCTTATGAAGAGTCTGCAGCTTGCATGAATGATTGCTGTGTGACTGTGAGTGTCTCGGTAAGTCAGGAGCCAGCTCCATGAGGTGATTTGCAACTAAAAAACATTTCAGAATGATAAAATAATCAAGGGAAACGTCTCTAAAATCAAGCAGCACAACCTGCATCGACAAAGAGTCACTGCAGACAAAAGCTGGAGCTAACCAACTGGGACGTTAACGCTCATATCCAACATATAGAGCGCTGATATGTGGTCTGATATGCAGTCTACAGAAACATGTTGTGCGTGTGCAGGCAGTGTTGGCAGCGGTGATTTACCTCTTTCAAAATTTAAACCCTTTTCCATGAAGGTTTTAAGGCATTTTGTCTACACAGAATCAACACACGCAGCTACCTGCACATGCATAACAAATGAAATGTGTGCAGATAAGGACGCATGCTGGCACACAAGCAGTATATATGTAAATAGTGTTCTCGTGCATGCATGAATACACACATTTGCACTTGCACAAAGACACATCCAAATTGCTTGTCTAACCTCTGTGCAGATACACAGCAACACAGCTTACAAGCCACCAATGACAATTCCTTCTCGTTTGTGTGGAGACAGAAAACTAAAGAGTGCATGTAGATCCATCACACTAATATTGATTATACATCATGCTACACGGAAAACAGATCACAGCAACCTTTTTCTACATGGGTGAACAATCAATTAATTAAACATCAGAGGAGCTGATGCAGTGCTGCAACCTGCTGTTCACAGCCTGTAACTGCATGGCTACTTTAGGGACTGAACAGCCTTCCATGTCACATCAAGTGCACGTGGTTGTATCATACTTTTGCTCTTTTCCTTCCTCTTCTTTATTCCAAGTCTTCACAGTTAACAGGCTTGTGCAAAACTCTCCCTTGGCTGTCATAATAGTTGAAAGATTTGTCAATGCAAAATAACACAAAACTTGAAACAGCAGCCTGTGAAAGTGTTCTCTGAAAACTATTTTCAGTGTTTCACGTTTCATCAACAAGACAAAAAAAAAGATTATCTCTCCAACTATTGCATTTTCTGTCTTTGCCTTTCCCATCTGCCTTACAGACAGTGATCAACACTATGTGCGGTTTTGGGGTTCAAACCCAGAACTACCTAGAGGCAAACAAGTCGATCTACCCAGTAGGCTGTGAGGACAAAGCAGTGATGTGGATCGAGTCTCATCTGTTGCTGGTGGGCGCTCTCGCACTGGGTCTGGCCTTGCCGCAGGTAACCCCACACATGCACTTACTTTAAGGTATTCACCCCAAAAATGATCTTTTGTGAATCAATTATTCACCCAGTGTTAAGCTGATTTGGGGGAAGAAAACTTTTCTCGCATGTCTCCGGTGAACGAAGAATCCAAAAAAACAGAAAATTCTTAATAAATTGAAGTCAAAGGGGTCACATTAAACTAAAGCAAAACTATATCAAAACATTCATTTACACACTCACACAACTTGTGTAATATAAACCTTCACCTGCGTACTGCACGAGCTGTGTGAGAGTTCGATAACAGATGTTTTGATATCATTGTGCCGTTGTTAAACACAGTTCTCTTTTACTCCAATTCATCAACAGTTTTTTCCGTTTTTGGATTCTTCACTCACCATTGAGGCATACAAGAAAAACAAAAGTTTTCTTCACAAATTAATCGTAACACTGGGTGAGTAATTAATAAACAAATGCTCACTGGGGGGATGAAATACAGAAAAATATAGAGAAATATTGGTTCATCAGTGGTTCTTTGGCATGGGTTGTGATGTCATAGAACTACTGCTGCAATTATTAAACCTCTGTAATGTTCTTTAGAGGTTCTCCACTGGTTCTTCAGCTTAGTTTAGTTAGTTTTTAGTTTACTGGGGAAAGAATAAAAACATTAAAACAGCCTACAAACAGTGTAATTCCAGAGGATAACACAGTAAAGCAGTGGCTCTATGTCTTTTTGCCCCCATGAGCACAGAAATATTTCAGGTTTGAAAAAGTATCAAGTAGCAAAACGTATTGTGTTTCTCAGTAAAGATTTAGTAAATGATTCTTCTGAGGCAACATTTCAGAAGACATCATTAATAATCATTCATATTTTAGGTAATAGGCTCATTAAAAAGCACATTGGCTCATCCATAGTATAATAAGGTATGGTTCAAGGCCCCCCTAGGCACTATATGGCACCTCTAATGATTCTATACACCACTATTTGACAAAGGCACTGTACAGTTCCTTTAAAAGATGGGTGCCATATAGCACATACTGTAAACGTGTTCCCCTATGATTACAAGCCAAAGAACCTCTTTTGGGTACTGTTTAGCCCCATTTTTGTTTGGAGTGTATTCCTTTAATTCAGGCTGTGCACTAATTGGCAACAGTCATTGGCCATCAGTAACGTCAGACAATTCTGGGCTGAAATGGCTCTAGTCTTGTCTTAAATAAGCTCACACATGCACGCAAGTCAATATAGGCATCAACTGGGGGCTCACTGGATTGAGCGTGTAGCGATCAACATATCGACGGACCCGGCTCGCTCAAAGGCAGACTGGCATGGTGCATTTGGACGAGGCTGCGAAATAGTCCGAGCAGCACTTAATCAATCAGAACCCAGCACCTTTCCTGAAGTAACACACGTACAAATATCAAGAGAGCTTCCACCAACTTCCCTGCTCAAGTGGAGATTGTCTCACATAGAATTAGCCTGTTTAAGCACAGATGAAAAAAAATCTAATAAAAATCTTATTCTAAAAGAAACCAACAGGGTGAAAGGTTAATGTGAGGCTACTGGGATAGAACTGATTTAAAATGGAGGGTTATACCTAGACAGCAATAACTAGGCGCAATGGGACAATGAATTTTTAACTGCACATTATTCATTTATTACTCTGCTCTAGACTGCAAGCTCGGGTTAATGTGCAACCGCAGTAGAAGTCTGCGTGTGATAATGTAAGATTATGGGCCAAAGAAAGAAGCATAGTAACGATTCCCCTCCTACTCACTGAGCACCACTGCACAACACACCTCAAATCCCACAGCATTAAGTGCTGTTAATAAGTCAAGTCAATATGTTAGATTTGCCATGAAATCTAATTACTGTAGTACTTATCAAAAGCTGCCTCTAAATAATTAGTACGCTTACTTATCAAGATGATTCAGCTACTGTCACAATGCATTCTGCCACAGCGTGCAGCTTTGCCACCGGATCTTTAGCCTGATCTCACTCGCTCTCATATCTGGCTGATTGGGTCCCCAAAGATCCTGCTAAGAGGGAAGCGTGTGAATTACCCATGAGTCCTGTCAGAACAACTGCACCAGTATTCCAGTTGCTTTGATGTGCAGGAAATCTGATGATGAAGTTCTCTTTTTTGTCTTGCACACCATAACTAAACACCATTACTGGATTTGTCGGCTTAACAAGCCACTGTTAAATCAAACTGTTAATTATTGAAAAGCTCTGTTAAAAGCTGTGTTTGCCACTGAATATGTGCGTCCTCCCTGTGAGGAACACTTTGTCATCAGCTCTATAGGAAGTGATATGTATAAGTGTTAGAATCCTCGTAAAATGGGTGTACAGTAATTTCAAGTGACATAATCCAAACAGTCTTATCTCATTTTGAACATTTCCTCCCTGCGCCAAATGAGCTCGGGGGACCTTGAGACGCTCGGCACAGGCTGTAAAGTTACAGAGAATCTGCTCTGTAATCTAAAGTGGCTGCTACTGTCCTCTAGATTGCAGGCATCGTGCTGTCCCAGATCCTGATCTCTCAGATCCAAGATGAGATTACCTCAGTGTTGTGAGAGCGGGCCAACGCAGGAGGAGAGGAGGAAAGAAAAGAACTTACAGTGCTCCATTTGGCTCGTCTGACATGTGCAAGGACATCTTTTTTTTACCACTACTGTATCACTGCGACATTTGAGTACATATTCTTCCTGTGCTGCTGCTAACAGGCATCAAAGTGTGGTACACACGGAGTCATCACATGCAAAATGCAAAGTGTATATTTATTGGTTTTGAACATGGTTTTTGTATTGATCATTGACATGAGGATTTTATTTCTGAAAAGTATTTATATTTAAATGTGAAGTTTGCTAATAAAATCTAAGAGAAGAAATTTACATTGCTCTGCAGTATATTGATTATGAGGTATCAGTTTTGTCAGCTAAAATAATCAGCTTACATTATGTGATTTAAAGCTGTTTACCGTGCAAATTGATCCTTCCTTAGCCCCTCTATCCTGCCCCCCCCGTAATTACTGTTGCTAGGTCAGACAAGCTTGACAAAATGAAACATGGCGACACCAGTTCCATTTAGCTGGATTCAATAGTGTTTATTAGATCGTTTTTGAGCGTCAGGCAAGAAACATTCAAGAGGCGACAGCAAGGATTACAGTATGTGATGGACGGATGTATTCACGATGTTAACTTTTATTTGAGGAATAAAAATGCGAATTGAGGCTTCCAGTCTCAACGTAAAAGGGAGAAGTAGAGACTAAGGATGAAAAGACGATCGGTCAATATTGCTCCTGCGCTGCCAGATACATATCTCAATGATCCCCTCCTGGGGATTAGTAAAGTACTCTACATATTTTTTTACTGACTAATGACTACAGACCATGGTGCTGAGCTATCGTTATTCTCTCTTTACTGTAGAAAGTTACATTAGTTACTTCAGGGCTGCATTTGGCCATGCAAAGATAACGTAAGTAAAGGAAACATTAGCGTTGATCTTTTCTAGCTAACAACAATTCATGTGATCTTAAATATTTGTCAGTAACTACCTCATCTGTCCTTTTCCAAATCTCTTTAACATTAAGGATGAAGCAAACCTGGTTGAAGTTGGTGTTCTGACATTATGCTAACTCCTCTTGTAGAATTAAAAGACTCAAAACACAGGATTGAACGTCCAATTTGTAGTGTCTGACCAACAAGCAACATCAGTTGACACACCTGCAGCTTTCCAATACACCTTAAAAAGGTGTTTCCTGACACTTAAGCTACTGTTTTCCTGTTATTCAGACAACCAGCTTTGAGAACAATTGCTTTTCTTGACATCACCAAATTTGGCCAGAATCATGCCAGATCATTTGGCTCCAGTCACGTCAGGAAATTGGGTTTACGTCAGGTCACGTACACCAAATATTCACACAATAAGAGTTTATGCCAGGTCATCGACCCTATAATAGCTAGCTAAAGTATACATAAAGAGGTATACTAACATTAGCTAACTTGTGTTTCATGGTGAATAAGGACTAGTGTGACGGTGGGAATGTGAGGTGCTGTGTCATTCCTGCTGTGGATTACAGCTAACGCCATTCAAAGGCTACTGGGGTCGGGATGTGTGGACAGTTAAGTCATCCACAACCAGAAACTACGGATTACCAGAACCATCCGGAAACACAAACAATTATAAAGCAGCAGCCAAAATGTAAGAAGACGCAAAATAGGATTAAATTATAGTGCACAAGTTAAAGGAGCTGATGGGATCACATTTGACTGGAGTTGTACTGTGTATAATTCCATATGCCGAATAAATGATATATTGATTGACTTAAAATGTGACTCTATATATAATGTAGTGTGTCATGAAAATTCTACAGCCCCCCAGTCACATCTTTTAACCATCTTCACAATTTGTTTTTCTTTTCAACATAGGCGACGCTAGCATGTCGCATAGTAAGGTCTAACAGGAAAGAGGAAAGTTGCACGGTTCCAAGCTCGCTCAACTCTTTTTGGAGCACAGTGTGAAAAAGGGCAGGGCTTAGGAAGGATCAACTGGCAACCTGTGTTTACTATTAGCTCATAATCTTGAGAAATGTGCAAATGTGTTTACATAAAAGCTTAAAAGGTCTGCAGTAGAAAAGGCTGAGCTCTTCATTGAAAAGAAAGCTGTACAAAAAGTTTCAGATGTCTTGAAAACAAAGGAATCTCCTCAAGCCAAACACCAGCACATCAGATTATGGCTTCTCTTGATGTTTTTTGCATGGGAACTGCTCTGCGCACCTTGCAACCCATCTAGGTGTGAAGAGCCAGCGCTGTCTGCATCAGACGATCCGTCAGAGGGGAGTTTGGCCTCATGGCATCGCGCTCCACCAGAAGACATCTGCAGGAATTCAGCACAACACAGAACAGTTCAGAGATATGAACACAGATTTAGAGAGACAAGCTGAGAGGCTAGCCTGATCAATAATGAAAGGATAACACGGTGTACGGACAGGGGATATTGGTTACATAATGGGAGCGTAGAGCTTGTGTTCTATATGGACATGGAGCAACAGCAACTAAAGAACACTTGAGTGGATAGCAGCCCCAGCAGCAACTACACTGTATCATGATGAAATCCAGTGCTTGAAATAGTGTAAGATCTCTCTTTTTCTCTTATAATCTCTCAGCAGACTTTCACATAAAAAGAAGAGATGGCAAGGACGCACAGCACTGAAGCTGCTGAAGCTGAAATCGATTGCTAGTGTGCATTACCTTCCCAGTTTCTGGTGGTGCTTATTCTCTGATTTCATGGCTGCATGAATGAGCAGTTGACTGAAGAGATCCCTCTGTGAACAACAGTGGACAGACCCATTAGTAAACACAACCCTGCTCCAACTCTGTACATAGAGTCTTTCTAGCCTTTTGTGCTTTGCTGTATGTATGTATACTCTTGCACCTTGGGGAACAGTTTTCTGAACACAAAGAACATAAAATGCATGAAGTCCATCAGCATCCATCACAGATTCATTATTCATACGTTGGTGCGCTGTGCTCCACATTCTCACACTATGTGGTGTGTTTATGGACTGAAAGGCTTTGGCTCTTATGCAGAGTGTTCTTCACCTCTGGCCTAGTTCACAACAACAGGGATTCCGGTTTGACTCCAGAAAACACATTACAGTATAATCAATGATATCCAAAGAGAAAAAAGTGAAGCCTCAAGGCTGAATGCTTGTCAACTGTGCATAAGAGAACTGCACTTCAGTCTGGTCTTGACTTTTTTCTTGTTCGCTTTGAGTTTACCACAGTCTCCAAGAACCTTACCTGTGCATCACTGCCACCTATATCCACTATGCTGTAGCGTAAAGGTTGCAGCAGCTCCACAGTTAGGTTGTAGTTGCCCTTGTCGTACTCCATCATGGCCTGGCACATTGGTATACCTATAGTCTCTGCCAGCTGATGTTGCGTATTGTCCCCTGGCTCTCTGCAAGGGAAAGGAGTGGTTTATAACTACAGAAAAAAAACATTTATTGGTACAGCTGGAAGGTTCAGAAGCTAGTATTAGAGGAGGAATGTTTTTTGGGGTGATTTTTTTAAAGAATGGCAAACATATGATGTTTGTTATATTTAGTAATTTTCATCTGTATACCACTCACCTAACTTTTTCACCAATGAGGAAAAGAAACAAAGCAAAAGATTTATTAAATTCATCAAAGAAAATTATTTAACAATTTTTGAATGTAGTTTTTGCTAGAAAACAAACAGGGAGCAATTTAACTTAACAGAACCTTTACAAACTGATTTTCAAACATTAAAAGGACTCAGAAGATAAAAGTTAGATTCACACATCTATGCTTGTATTACTTTTATGATGGAAACTCTAAAATTCAACGAAATGAAAGCTGTGAATGATGCTAACCAACACATGTAATATCCTTCATTAAATCAGAATTACCACATTGCGGTTCTATGCCTCCACCAACCAATAAAGTTGCAGTTACAGTTTACATCCATGTCTGTGAAAACTATGGGTCTCATTCATGAAAAGTGAGTAAATCTGTGTGTAGATTTGCACATAAAAGCCTACTCTACTAAAAACCTACTCCAGATTCAGGAACGCCGCGGGAAACTCAGATTTGATCGTAAACACTTGTGTATGATCATGAATGCCAATCCATCGTAAAGTGACAGAGAGCTCCCGGTAATCAGCAATTAGCATAAATCCCCGCCCATGAATATCCAATGACCACCATATAAGGAGGTGTAGGTGCATCCAGTCGACCTGTCAGTCATGGCGCAAACAAACAAAGAGAGAGAAAGAAAAAATAATTTTTCCGAAGCGGAGAATGAAATAATTTTGGGTGAAGTGGACTTAAGAAAAAACATTTTATTTTCTTCAGTTAGTAGTGGTGTGACAGGGACAGGCAAAGCGAAGGCCTGGAGCGAGGTAACAGAGGCTATTAATGTTGTGTCCGTAGTACAAATAACCATGTCAGAGATAAAGCGTAAATGGTTTGATATGAAACTGGAGGCAAAGAAACGCATAATAGGCCGTAAGGTGAATCAAAAAAAGTCTCACAGAAACTGATTTCCGCTCCGACATCTAAGAGTGGGCTACAATGAGTACCGGGCCATGAAATCACAGCATCCGCGGTGAGAGGACACGGAATTGTGTGCGCTTTTACGCACGCGGGTATAGGTGATCACGGATATTTGATGTGGGAAAGGTGTAGCCAGATGTATTACCTGTTTAAGATATGTGTCTGTCTGTCTGTCCGTCCATCCGTAGCACGAGTCATGTACGCCACTTCACCACCGACCCAGCGAATTATGCTCAGGCGGAACAGATCATTATGCTCAGACAGAACAAGTGCCGAATTACGACCCCGATCACAGGATCACATTGTCTCTTGAGGGGTTATGAGCTACGAACTCCCACTGATTAGCTGAACATGTATCGATCTTTTTTATGAAGCAAAGATCGTGTAGTCCCCAGATGTCGGAACAAGATGAAACGATAACTGCGTTCACCTTAAGGCCTATAAGCACACACAAAAATACAGCGGTCACCAAACAAACAGAAGATTAATTTGTGGGGTTTTGAATGAAGTGGGAACGGCCGAAGGCCGAAGAGGCTGTGATCCGGCTGTCCTTACGGATATTTTTTATTATCATCATTCAACATGTAGAAAGAACGTGTAATCTATTGAGTCGATTTACATAGATAATTCACAATCATGAACCTAATCTGGATCTTAAACCTGCTAAGTGCCAACTAATTTAACTAAATGTGTTATATTTTTAATATTTTGTCATGTTTAGATTACGTGTTTCAAAGGCATCTGTGTATTGTGTACATAACAGAGCGCAATACGAATTAAAATTGTAATTTCGAATAGTGACAAGCAATATTT